CATACCAGGCTGCACCACACACCAACTAAACAAGAGTTCCGGAGGGTGGTGAGGCGCAGGTGGCAGCATTTGTAAAGCTCCAGAGTGACTAGACTGTGCTGCCTGAGACCCTCCTACTCTGGCCCCATTCAAACCTACTGAATCAGAAACTACATTTTTAACAATATCCCCAGGGGATTCGTGGACACACTGGAGTTAGAGATGCACTGTATACCCACTTGGGCAAACCACTTCATCTTTTTTAAGCTTCAGCTACCTTATTTGTAAAACGGGAGCAATAATACCTTCCTCGTGGGTTTATCGTGAGGACAACATGACATAACACGTGCTAAACATGTGGGATGGGGCTCCAACAGTCAGAGCTAAGTAGACAGTACTGCTGTTATTATTAAAGTCCACACTAAACATTTCCTCTAATTTATTCTTATTTGCCTACATTTTGTTCCATTTACAAACTCTGCTAATAGCTCCCAAGTATGTCTTAGATACTGCGTGTTCTATAAGGTAATTAAACATGCAAAAATATCCTAGTGGATCCCACTTCTCCCTTCAAATCAGTATGCGTTCTCCCAGAGGCCAAGGATTCTGCTTCCTCCAGTATCTTCAGGTGCCTGATGCTCTGCGACCCTGCAGATATAAGCCACAGGAACTGCTGGTGGAGGTCCACACAACAACATGGACTTCATGGTTCCTCCTCCACACACCTGCTCCCCTCTCCCCTGATCCTTCTCCTGTCCCCATAGTCTTCTACAACTGAACAGTAGTTTTTCTGGGCATGACTTGCACAGTCAAAAGTCCTACAATAGGCACTTCTTCCAGCAACTGGAAGAGAGCTACAAAATAAATGAAGCTTTACCAACTGAAGCACAAGATACTAAAGTGGCATCAGGCTACTTTGAGGATTTTGCATATTTGATAAGACTTACATTTTTTTCTTTACTTTGGACCACACATCTGGACATATAATAGGGAATCAAATTTTATTTATTGAATGAATGAACAGCAATCCATATATATGCCTCATTTAATAACACTTAAAAACGATATATGCTTTACTCTGTCAGGACAAACAAAGGCTTACATTAAAAAGAAATTGCTTCCTACTCTATCCAACTTCTTCACACTCCCCTCTCCCCATAATTTTAGCAATAGCCCTTGCTTGGTACTATCACAATAGTATTTTTCATATTTCCATTTGTTTCAGGATTAAAACAAACTTGTGAAGTAGGAACCATCATTGTAACATTTATCTTCCAGCTAAGGAGCTTTGAAGATTTGGAGACGGCTCCTTAGTCAGGGTCCCTGAGCCAGCAGAGTGGCACTGGGAATCCAGATGTCCTTGCCCCCCAAGTGGAGCCTATAACTGCTGTACTATGAGGCTTCCCTCCTAGCTTGTTTTACCCCCTGGACTGGTGTCTTCACACTTTCCTCCGTGTAGCACAACACCTGTTCTTCCTCAGTGACGAGGAGTTGTCAAAGCTGAACCCAGAAACTTTAAACAAAGAGAAATCCTAAATACAATCATGCATCGTTTAATGATGGAAATACAGTCTGAGAAATGTGTCATTAGGTGATTTTGTTGTTATGCAAAAATGTATCATGAAAGGAAAGAGCAATGAATTTTCCTGTATCTACACTGGCCACTAGTTGCATGAGCTTGGGCCCTGTAATTAGGTTACTAATTCTCTCTGTGCCTCACTTTCCTCATCTGTTAAATGGGGACTATAATAACACCCCCCCCCCCGCAAGTTATGAAAATTAACTTACAGGTAGGGATTGTGCCCGGCACTCAGCAAGCACTCAGTGTTAGCTAACTGTTATTGACTATTACTTTGCTATGGGGATGGGTGGGAATCATTTAAAAATGCAAGAATTCTAAGGTAGACAACATTTCTTTCACTTGGGGTCAGACCCACTGTGTACACGCTTGGCTTTCTATCTTAAAAATCTGAGCTACCTTTGGGAGGGTCACTGTGAGGGTAACCTAGGCACTCTTAACATATTTTGCAGTAGGTCTGTTTACACCAGCATCACCACGGCCGTGTGCATAATTCCTTGAGCTGCAACACTGTGAAGGCTATGACGTCACTAGGCGGTAGAAAGTTTTCAGCTCCATTACAATTTACAGCACCACCGAGGTATATGTGGTCAGACTTGTTGACTGTACAAACACTGTTCAATCTCCATGCAAATCATACTCAGTTCTTCCAAATTCTCACCCAAATAGTTTTCAAAAAATCCTCGCTTCCAAGTTCACTTTTTAACAATGGAGGAATTGCTGGAGAGAATAATGTTAACGAATTTATATCCCAAATAACCCCGAATAAGTTGCTGAGTTTGTGTAAACATTAGTGAACACTTAGATACAAAAGCAATGACTGTCAGGAGCCAGCAGAGATTCACTAGAAACGTTCCATCTGACAAACCTCATTCCCATTTTCAATAGGGTTCCTCAACCGGAAGATGAAGGGAAGCCTTAGATAACACACCAGAATTAAGCTGCTGTGAAGAGAACCAGGCACTGAAATATCTTTGCGAACAAAATGGGAAAACATAACAGTGGCTGGATGGTTTCAAAACTGGCTGATCTATCACAGCCAGTGTATTGTTCATGCAGTCATTTGTTCAACACACATCTCCTGGGCTTGTGCTGGACTCTGAAAATACAATGTTGACCAAAACAGCCATGGACCTGCCTGCCTCCCCACTTACGTTCATTCTAAGGTTGATTAGAGCATCTTTGCCAGCATGGGAGAAAACTCTAAGGTTTAATCACAGGCCTAGTTTTAGCCTTTTCTTGTTTAATAATTCTTATTAAAGACAAATGAATGTAGGCTTATTCAACTGTCAACAAGCAGCAGCAGGAAAAAACCACCAAATTCATTAGAAGGTATAATTACAATCCAAAAAGCTTTCAACAGGTTGGAAGAGGGCTAAAGCAAGATGAAATCTGATGGGAACAAATTTATTGTCCTATATCAGAGTTCAAAAAACCAACTACACAAGAATAGGACTGGGGGACCATTTTAACAGCAGCCTAAACAGACCTTAACATTTTAAGAGCATCCCAAAAAGACCTAAGATTTTTTTTTTTTTTTTTGTCACCGGTAAGGGGATCGCAACCCTTGGCTTGGTGTCGCCCACACCACGCTCAGCCAGTGAGCACACCGGCCATCCTTATACAGGATCCGAACCCGCGGCGGGAGCACTGCTGCGCTCCCAGCGCTGCACTCTCCTGAGTGTGCCACGGGGCCGGCCCAAAGACCTAAGATTTTAGTTGAGTATGAGTTCATTATGAAGAAAGGTGGGGATATTAAAGGAATAACTGGGGAATAAGGAGACAAGGATTCTAGTTCTAATAGTGATGGGGAGGAAGTCATTGAATTCAGGGAGTTGCTTTTCTCATCAGAACCTTAGGAGATTAGGCCAGGACACCTTTCAGGCCCCAGCTAGTTCCACCAGTGCAGACGAGGTTCATTCTGCACACTGCTATGTGTGCTCTGCACCTAGCACAGCACCTGGCACATAGAAAGCACTCCCCCAGTACTTGTGAATGAATGACAGTGCTAACAGAAACTCTACAAGTTAATACTATGTGTCCCCCTCACCTCCCCCCCACAAACCCTAAAACACTCTAGGGTTCAAGAAACAGAAAAATCATCTGGGGAAAAAGGGCCCATAATTCCATATCCACCTATATGTTCCATTTTAAAAGAGTCAATGACAAGTTACATTTAAGTCAGAGAGGGTAATCCAGTTGGTGCAGGGTTTATCATCTCCCATAAGGATTGGATGAAATAGTGGCTGAAGGAACTGGGGAAAGCAAAAGTTCAGAAAGGCCATGGTAGATGCTTTCAAATATTTTGAACACTACTATGTCAGTATAACTCCAGAAGGCAAATGGGAACCCAAAGATAGAGGGTTCAATATTGATCACTAGAATGGGCTGCTCCTCACCAATGTAAATCTTCAAGTGGCTGACAGGACTGTTATAGAGGTTGACTCCTTATTGAGTTTTAAGTTACTCTAGGCAATTTCTAAGGTCCCTTCCAATTCCAAGATTCCATGGCCTTCTTATTTATGTTTAAAATGTAGCATATAGAAAAAGTTTCATTTTTTCATAAACTTTTTAAATTGTTCAATTTCTAAGAATAAATCTGAAGTATTTATTCACTGAGTTTAAGAAAAAAATTCACTCTGACCACCACTCTCTGTGGCTGTTACACAGTTTTAACTAGACAGTGAGTATAAATATTATATACTTATATGAAATAAATATTAAATAAAACCTATGCTCTATTAGGGTTTCCCAGTCCTTGAAACCCCTGCTGGTTGCAGCAGTACCACACTCAGGTGAATTCTGAGATATACAGGAGAATGTCTTTCATTCAAGCCTCATTAAAATGGAAGCCTGCTGCTTAGTGTGCTCAGTTCTTAAAGCCATTTTTAAATAAGACGTATTATGTACTATTTTCTCATAGGTAAAAACAATCCCTGGCATGCAGGGTTTCTGGGCTGAGAAAAATAAGCAGCAACAAAAAGCAGCAGAACTTGAGAAGGAAAATTCAGCTGCAATTTTCTTTTTGCTTCTGCCCTATCTGCACTTGTATCCAACAACAACAACAAAATCACTTTTAATAATTTGCAGCACGTTAGGATTTTAAGCAGAATTTTTTTTTTTTTCCCCAAAGGCAGAGTAGGCTTTGGGGCACTAGAGAAGTCTATAGAACTTCTTTGGCAATTCACAAAGCACATCTCACAACACTGTACAATAGATGCTACCATCAATCCCATCCTTCAGCGACCTGTGCAGCTCAGATACAGGCAGACCCAGAACCCAAACTCAAGCCCTTCTCCAAATGCCAACTTCAACTTCTGCCAGAGCACAGTGCCCACAGCAGAGACCAACCTCGCACCTAATCCCACAGCTGCCTCTTGAGATTCCCAGGTGGAGAACAGAGAGTGCAGCAAAAGTGGACGCACCTGTGCACTCAGGTGGGCAGCCTGAGAGCACCATGTGACAGAGTGGCCAGCAGGGACAGGCAACAGGATGACCACGTCAGCGAAGCTACAAAATCTGAAGCAGAGCAAAGATCACGCAAGTCAGGCAGAATGGCAGAAAGACTGACCTGAAAGCTGGGCTTTCTGTTCCTGCTTTGTCACAAACAGCTTTACCCACTGTAGGAAGGGGAAAGGGGAAGCTGCTCTAGTTAACATTTCTTCCCACTATTGTCCTAAATTAGGAATATTACAAATCTTTGCCATTCTTGTTTTTTAAGCTTAGTCACTGATCATCTTTCCCTTAGTTATTGGAGGGTATTTCACTTGTTCCTTTGATATGCTGCAACTGTGTTAGAGAGGCTGGGGGAGCAATGGAAAGATGACAAGCCCTGCCCTCAAGCTGCTGAGACTCAGTGCTGAGCATGGTGGAAGGTTCAGGCTGAATGTCATGAGTGAAGCCACCTGGAGAAAATGGGGGAGACCTCCCAGCTCAAATGACTCCAAATCAGTGATCAGAGACCATGGCAGGGAGCTGAGTTTGCTCTCTCAGAATGTGCTTATGCTTAGTAAAGGCACAAATTACACACCTCGTGTCAGTATAGAGGAAAGAACTATTTAATACTAAAAGACTCAATGATCATTTTTTCTCTTAGAAAGTACGTAACTTCATCTTGAAAAACAAAGTCTGTAACCAAAACAGTTAGCCAAATATGGTTCCAGATTAGAGATGTGGTTTGAGCCCTTGCCATCATGCTGGGGGTAGGTGGCTGAAGATTTGTGAAATGTTTTAACAGGAGCGGTGTTTCTTTCTTCTAACTTTCAAAAGCCTGTTAAAAATGCACAGGTTGAAAGTTTAGCAGAAATCCATGTTCTAGCCCAGGGGTGGGCAAACTTTTTTTCCCATGAAACACCAGATGGGAAATATTTTCTTTGTGTGCTATATGGCCTGTATTTTGGCTACTGGATTTTGCCTTTGTGTAAAAAATGGAGCCATAGATCATGGCTTCCTAGTTAACTATCTGTTAGGAAGCTCAGGGTCAGACACATATGGGATGGGAAACTCTGATAAGCTCCTCTAGCTTTCTTGGTCTTATTCTTTAATGTCTCAGAGCTTCAAGGAATGGAGGTTATCCCCCTAGCCAAATCTTGCATCCTGCAGCCCAAGGGGCCCACCCTAGTGATGTTCTGTGGTTTCGTCTTCCCTTCACCTTAATGTGCCCCCTACAAATTGCCACCCTTTTAGCTCATAACCTCATCTTCCCCTCTCCTCCAATTTACAATGTGCCCAAAGGCCTGGTAACAAAAGCAAATCAATATTAAATAATATTCACACTGTTATTAAAATGATTGTTCATAGTCCCAAAAGAGATATTTGCCCAAAGAGCCTGCTGTTAAAAGAACTGCAACTTTTGAATGTATGTGTCTGTTGTACAAGGTCATTTAAGAGTGTCCCGTGTGACCTCACTCGTCTCCCCTCATCCGTGAGGCTGTATGTGTGGCTACCTACCACACACTGAGCAACGATAATCAATAGCTGTAAAAGCTGCCACAGAAATGCTTATTTGGCCTAGACATTGTATAGTTGTGAAAGGGATAAAGGTATTTCCTAAATGGGATTCGCCCTGTATCATCTAATGGTAGACAGAGCAAAGATTGAGGTAGGGCACAGAGAGAAGGAAAATCATCCATCCGGACAGGAAAGAGAAAACAATATTCAATGGAGTACTTTCTCAGGGATAAAGAGAGTGAGTCTGAACTTTAAATTGAATATGACCCACCAAATTAAGATTATGTAGCTATTAAGTTTTCCTGGAGTACCATGGTATTTTAATAATCATTGAATTTTTTCAGAAAATACGAGGGGTCTTCAAAAAGTTCATGCAAAGATTAGTATTATCTTTTAGTTCTACTTTTCCACAAACTTTTTGAAGTACCATCATATATTACGTAAAATGGTTTAGTAGAGCTTAACTCTTGCACCTCTTCAAACCCTTTGGGTAAAGAAACATACTAGAACACACAACAAACATTGTAGCTGCATCAACCGTATGTAAAACCTTATAAAGGGCACGACTACTGGCATTTTTAACCAATTAAGATAATTTAAAAATTCAAAATAAGATGAACTTACCTGTAGAATTTCAAATGAGATCAAAGCACTGGCTGAAGATTTTTGTTGTTTTCTGTATTCCATGCTTTACGTAAAATACTCAGATTTGCTGCGAATTACTAAAGAACAGAGAAAGAACTATGAGTCATAACTCAACATTGGGCACTATAACATTCAAAATCAATGTTCTACTCATAGCAAGATGCTATCGGGCAAGTGATTGTGCATCAATGCTTTTTTTCATTTTTGGAAAAGCTTTGCTCCTCTCTTCTCCCTCCTTGCTCTCAAATCATCTCTTGCTGTAGTCTGGAATTATATTTGGACACTGTTTTGATGACAGGCTTTATCTTCAGGGCTGGAGTTACTCAGTGGCCATTCATTTGAATGAACCTGTTGTTCTAAGAGAAAAAAACCTCAGTCTTATCTCTTAACAGTTCCCTTATCTCTTAAATAGTTCCCTTCTCTAGACTGACACACACTCAGTAATTTGCGTTCACCAGGCACCAACACATACTGAGAGCACAAACTCAGCTCCCTGGCTCTGCCTGAGCTGCCCGGGGAAAGCTAAAACATACACTTGCTCCCAGCTGAAAACTGCAAACTCAAGTCTTCCTTACACCTCTGAAAACAGAAAAATGATACGGTTTGGTCATTTCTCCCTTGGTAGTAGCTGCTGGCATCATTCCTTCCTGCTTGGGAAAGTGAGACTCCATTAAACCTTTAAGATTTTTTTAAAAATGCCTTGGATGCTCCTGAAGACCGCTTGTCATGAATCCTGTGGCCCTAGCCCCTTGGGGTTTCCTCTCCCCTCCCGATTCGCCCATTTCCCCTCCTTAGGTCCCAATGCTTCCCATCCCGTCCCTAGAAGCACCCTCCCACAGTTCGCCCCCAGGGCCTTCCCGCGCGCCTCGGGAGCGCGTTCGCCCCCAGCAATACCGTAGCGCCGTCCCCGTCTTCCGCCCCCCGCCGCGGGCCCCGGGTGGCTCCCCGAGTCCGACGGTGGCTGGAGTGGCGCGGGGCGACGCCAGGGCGGGGGCTGCGCCCCGGAGCAAGGCGGGATGGACAC